GAGCAGTTCCTCTGAGAAACCTACCTATCCTAACACTACTGTTCTTTGTCATACACACAGATGAGGAAGAGGAAGAGTTCATTGAAGAAGATCAGGAAGAGGAAGAGACCACAGAGGGGAAGGAAGAAGGTAAGAAATCCATCTACATTCATTCATCCATTCATAAATTTATTCATTCAACAACTTGAGATGTTGACTGTGTGCAAAATGCTGCGCTGGACTTTGTGGATGATGCCAATATGATGATGTTCCCAAAATGTATAAACCTTTTAAGGATAAAGTCCTGTTCCCTTTACCCTTAGAGAAAAAATAACCCAAACTATTCATAATAAAAAGCTCCCATTTTTATATCTAAATACTTATATCTACACGGAAATCAATGCAGCATGCAGACGTAAAAGACAGAGCACTGTGAGCCAGCCTTGGTCCACTGAGACGTTTTGTTTGGCCATCACAATGCTTACATTTTTAAAAATCAGTTGCCAATATTTTAAAAATTAGGAGATTTTTTTTGAAGTGTTTTAAAATTTTTTCTTTTCTTTATTGATTGTAGAGAGAGAAAGGGAGAGGAAGAGAGAGCTAGAAACATCGATGAGAGAGAACATCAACTGGCCGCCTCCTGCATGCCCCCCACTGGAGATCAGGCCCACACTTGGGCATGTGCCCTGACCAGGAATCGAACTGGCGACCTCTTGATGCATGGGTCAACGCTCAACCACTGAGCCACACCGACTGGGCCTTAAAGGATTTTTTTTTTTATCCTCACCTGAGGACATTTTTCCATTTTTTTATTCAGACAGAGTCGGAGGGAGAGAGAGAGAGAGAAAGATCAACGTGAAAGGGACACATCGAGTGGCTGCCACCCACACAACCAACCAGGGCTGGGGACAAACTGCAACGGAGGCATGCACCCATCGCGGGAACTGAACCTGGGTCTCTCTGGACCACAGGCCGATGCTCTAATCACTGAGCCAAACCGACCAGGGCCTTAAAGGATTTTTTTAAAAAAGGAGATTTCAACTAAGAATCTGGATTTCCACCTTCTTGTGAAAATTTGGAAAGAGCTAACAATGTGGAGCTCACCCTTCTCTCTTGTCCCAGAGAGTTGGCACTGGGCAGTGGCTGCCTCCTTTGCATGGGACATGCACTTGCCAGTTTGCCCAAACCCACACTGTCAGCCTTCCTCATTCATGTCATCTGCTGGTCTTTGTAGGCATTTGAGTTTGCCAGCCTGGCAGACCACAGTTAACAGTTCTGAACTGCAGCTTTATCACGGACTGGTGGTGTGATCTTGGGCAGTTCACAACTTTTCTGAGTCTTGGGCTATTCATCTATGCATGGGGGCATAAAAGTACTGACCATAAAAGATTATAATGGACAGTACATTAGAGAATCTTTTAACAGTGTCTAGCACATAGGGAGGACATGTTTGCTAATTAGCATGTTTGCGAATGTTATTATTTTAAAAGCCAAGTTATTATTGGAACTAAATTCCAATCCAGTTGAAAAATACAGAGTAGTCTTTTGGAACTTTGTATTGGATGTGCAATCCAATTTTGTTTTGGCAACTAAATTCTATTTTGGTTTAAAAAGAAAGAGGCCAGGCAGGAATTGGAGTTTGATCATTTTGTCTCTACACCTTGGTAAGCCCTGGATCCCCCTGGGTCCCTGCCTAACTCTATGTTTCTTTGTCTTTTTCTTTCAGGACACTAGTAAGGAGCTGGATGAGAAAGAGACCCTCTAGATGCAGAGAGACTGGGGAGGGTGGGGATGGGCCCAGCTGCCTTGGTGACAGGCCCAGGGTGGGAGGGGTCGGGGCCCCTGCAGGGGCAATGGGGAGGTGTGTCTTCTCTCTGCTCAGAGAGCAGGGATTAGGAGTAGGACCCCCACCGCTGTGTCAGGCAGTCACTGAAGCAGAGTTGGAAATGTGCTTGAAATAACCACACAGGACACTTTTCTACATTGGTGCAAAATTGAATATTTTGTACATTTTTAAAATGTGATTTTTGTATATACTTGTATATGTTTGCCCATTTGGTGCTTTTTGTAAAGGAACTTTTGTATGATCATGCCCGGTCATCGTGTGACTGGTGACTGTTAGAGGAGAAGGAAGCCGTTCCTTTCCTGGCTGGGAGGGCTGGTAGCGCTCACAAACCTGGAGGGGATACTGTACTGGGTTTCAGTGCCCATTCCTGGCGGGATGGTAACTGAGTTTGTGTTATATGTTGTTTTAATAAATGCACAGCGCTCTCTTCCTGTTATTACTAAAGGAGTCTGGGTTTTGTTCAGCCTTTTTTCTGGAGACTTCAGATGGACAGAGGCCTGCTAGAAAGTGTGTGGCAGGATGGAGACCGTAATGGCTTCTGTCCCACTAAAGAAGAGTTCTTTACATCAGCATTTCCCAATAAGAGCTCCAGGAAAACTGTCCCTGAGATGATCCTCAAGAAACAAGTTTAATGCCCTGTTCTCTGGAAAACAGAACCTAAGGCAAAGCTTAAATGTTTTAGTCTAGATACAATCCGAGGGCAGCCAAGGTGAGGGAAAGTGGAAGCAAGGCAGGATAGGAGAGAAGCAAATAGAAAGTGTCGCAGAGACCCGGCTGTTTGTTCAGTTATATGAGAGGTTTCTAGCAGGTTATAAAGAACACAACAGAAAAAAAGAAAGAAGGAAAGGACGGAAAGAAAGGAGGGAGGGAGGAAGGGAGGGAGGAAGGAAGAACACAGCTGACTCAAAGCAGCTCATCAGAGGGAAGAAGGGAGATTTTTGTCTGCTGGCGCCTCTGTCTCTTGCCTCAGGATTGAAGTTTGTCTCCCAGAGTGTTAATTTCCTTACACTTCCAGGTTGCATCACTCGGCCCCTTTGGGCAGCTGCTGGGGAAGCTAAGCTAGATGGCACACCATCCATTAACTATGTGGGTAATGCAAGGAGTAGAACCTCTGTGATCCAGTGGGTGGGCATGGGTGCTGGAACTGCACAATGGATGCTCTGCTGGAATCCAAATGTACTCCAGGGAAGGCCAAGTCAGCCACCAGTGCCAGGGGCTGAGGCGATGACCAAGGCTGAAGTAGCACCAAGGCCTTCCATGAACAAGGGGCCAGGGGACCGGGAGAGAGAAGAAGCTGAGTGGATAGAGATGGTGCATTAATTGGGTCTGAGACACCTTAAATTTATAAATTTGAGGAACACTGCAGAGTCTGTCCCACCTTTTTGACATTCAGAACACAGTGGCAAGTTAAAGGTTCTGAGTAGTCCTGTCATAAAGAAAGCTTTTTAACTTTTGACAATGCCTGACCCATCGAGTTTATGGTGTTTGGAATACTGCATGATCATTAAGGCTCCTAATATTTTTTGGTGGATTGAATATTTAACCCAGCATTTCCCAATTTATCCATTCATAGGACATCCTCCAGAACTAATGTTCTGTGGAACTCACTTTATGAAAGTGCTTTAAACCTTCACGCCTTGGCCCGCTTTCACTTCTGGGAGTTTTTCCAAGGTTAACTCTGTCCCTAATTTTGAATTTCAGGGAATCAGATTTTTGCTCTTATTTCTCATTCTTTCTCAAGTTCCAAAGCATATTTTAAACATTTTCTTTAAAAATTGCATAATATATTATAGACACAACTGTACACAATTAATTATAAAGTTTAATAAACTATTGTAAAACGAAATCCTGTGTTGCTACCATGCAGGTCAAGAAAAAGAACATTGCCAGCTCCCAGACATCCTTCCTGTACCCCCTTCCCATCATAACTTCTTTTGCTTAGAGGTAGCCACTATCCTCTTTTTTGATATTCACATACTTGCTTTTCTTTACTGTTTCACTCCCCCCACCCCCAATATGTTTTTATTGATTTTTAGAGAGGGGGAAGGGAAATGGAAAGAGACAGAAACAGTGATTCTGCACGCCCCCTATTGGGGATTGAGTCCGCAACTCGGGGCATGTGCCCTGGCCTGGAATCTAACTGGCGACCTCTTGGTGCCTGGGAGGACGCGCAACCACTGAGCTGCATCGACCAGGCTATAGTTTTACTTTCTAAAGTATTCTCCCAAAGAAGACTGAAGGAATTTGAGAAAGAGAGAGGCAGAACACTATGCATGGCACCTCCCCGGGGCCCCTGAGAGCAGCTGGGGGGCAGGGGAGAAGGGATGATGGTAGTGGTGGTAGCTCTGCCCAGATGGAGGCTGATATAAAGTGCGACACCGCCCTATGCAGGGGATGGAGGTAAGCCGGTCACTCCAGACTCGAATCAGAGCGAGCAGGCAAGGCTGCTTCAGTGGTGAGAATGGGTCGGGCAGTCCCAGTCAGTCCTAAAGAGGGCCGTTGCCCCAGCCTAAGAGGAGGCAGGCCCCGCCTCCTGGACCCCCCTACCTAGCCTGAGCGGGACGCAGCCGACCGCCGGTGGCTGCAGCCTGAGGGCGGAAACCTATTTCAAACTCTCAGGAGTCTCCAGCCCGAGGGGAAGACAACCGTAGCCTCAGGAGCCACATTCTTGTTCTCCGAGGCTCCAGAGCGAACTCCTACAAACGAAGATCCGAGAACTTCTCGGAGGGAAGAGCGCGCGCAGCCGTGGCCCGGTCCTAACTCAGTAGAGGCGGTTAGGTTTCTGGTCGCAAGTCAGGTGGGCTCCCCGCGCCCCAGGGACATGGGGATGGGTGCTCGGGGCAGCTCCGGGGCATCCTTTGCACCCGGCCACCCCTCCCCCTTCCCCGCAGGCTTTTGCACACGACGCGCGCAGGCCGCTTCACACGGGTTGGCGTGGGCCGAATAAAGCGCTGGGAGCGGGAAAGGGAGCAGAAGCGGTGGGACAGCAGCTGCGGCAGCGGGACGATCACACCGCGGTCCCAGCGCGGCAGGGCGGGCGTGGAGGCGAGCACCGCGGGGCCGGAGAGGCGACTTGGGCTCCCGCAAGCGAGAGCGCGCTGCGCAGCGCCTGGCGCGCAACTTCAGGGCTCACTGTGCCCGGAGTCCGCTCGCGGCTCCCGACCCGCGGGGCCGCATGAAGGCCACGGATAAGCAACATCTGTTGGACGCCTTGCCCAGAGCCCGGTAAAGCGAGAACCTGGGGAGGGGTGGGAATTTGAGCGGTTTCAGACGCATCTCCTCGTTTTCTGTCCTGGGATGGTTTGGGCAGCAGCTTGAACAGGGCCCACATAGGAGGGCTGGTGAGGTGAAGGTGAGGGGACATCCAGCGTGGCAAAGGAGTCATCCCACCTGGGCGGCTGAGCACAGATCCTCACCGCTGCCCGCTGGTCGGGAGTGCGATGCCTAGAGCCCCGCCCACGGCCGGGAACCTTACCCCCCCCCCCCTCCCGCAACCTCGCCGAGGGAGGCCCTGTGTCCCCAGGTGCTCGAGACGGAGGTTTGCCCATCTGCCAGGCCTGAGCTCTGTTCCTTCTCTGCGCTTGGCTGCACTGGTCCGCCCCTTGGCCAGTTCCCAAGGTCTTCACCTCCTCTAGGCCCTGGGAGGTATGGGGGAGAAGTGAACATCCCAGGCCACCGCTCTTCACTCCTGGAGACTGGTCGTTTCCCCCAGCACCCACCTGCGAACATGGGCTTCTGGTCACTCCTGGGGGACTGTCAAGCTTTGAGTGTCCTTAACTAGTCCCCTAATTGTACACATGGGAATGCCAAAGCCCCGCGAAGAGATAGGACTGGAGTCAGCCCTCCTTGGCCCCTGAGTCTCCTCTTTCTTTTCTTCTGTGGCCAGATCTTACATGGGATCTCTGCCGCAGGATGGGGCTGGCTGGATTTCTGTGTCCCCACCTGAGTCGGACTTGCCATCCATTGAGCTGGCTGTGGAGAGCAACCACTACTGTCACTCCCAGAAGGGTCCTGGCAGTCACCATGACCCCAAGAAGGAGAAGGCCCGTCGTCAGCTCTATGTAGCTTCTGCCATTTGCCTGATGTTCATAATTGGGGAAGTCATTGGTAAGGACTTTTGTGATACTTAAATGAAATTGGCACATGGATAGTTGTGATGATCCAAAAGGCTTTTCTCCTGAATGTTCCAGCAACATTAATACAGTTGACACTTGAACAATGTGGGGGTGGAGTTAGGGTTGCTGACCTGCATAGTTGAATATTCACTTTTATCCTCACTGGAGGATTCATCTTCAGATAGAGCAGGAGGGAGAAAGAGAGAGAAACATCAATTGGTTGCCACCCACACGACCCTAACCAGGGCTGGGGACAAATTGCAACCGAGGTACAGGCCCTTAGCGGAAACTGAACCTGGGACTCTCTGGTCCGCCAGCTGACCACTGAGTTAAATCGGCCAGTGCTCAGATGTAACCTTTGAATCCCTAAAAACTTAGCTACAGTGGGCCCCTTCCCACCTATGGATTCAACCAACCATGGATGGAAAACTGTATCTGGGGATGGGAACGTACTGTTCTCCATGGGGATGATAGAGTCAGCAGATGGGAAATCCACAGATATGAAGGGCTAATTTTATTTATTGAAAAAAATTTAAGTATGAATGGACCCATTCAGTTCAAACCCGTGTTGTTCAATGGTCGTGGCGGTCAAGGTTGAATATTCACCATGTTCTTTTAAAAATAAATTTTATTTAAAAACGTTATTTTTTAATTACCATTGACATACAATGTTATATTAGTTCAAGTGTACAACACAGTGATTAGACATTTATATATCTTACAAAGTGATCACCCCTGTAAGTCTAGTACCCATCTGACACCCTGAATGCCTAGAAGGAAAGAGCACTTACTGAATGCCTACCATGCTTTCCAGGCTATTTGAACTTGAGTTTCACATTCACCCTCTAAGTAGATGTTGTTAGTCCTGTTTCACAGATGATAGAAGTTGAGGCTCAGAGAAAGTACTTGCACAGCGAATGGGTGAAGAGGTCCTGGTCCAGTATTTCTCCAGAGCCCATGGTTTCCCTGCTACCTAGTCTGGGAAGTTGGCTCCTTGGAGAGCTGATGAGGACCCTCCATCATCACTGCCCCTGCAGGTGGGTACCTAGCACATAGCTTGGCGATCATGACCGATGCAGCCCATTTACTCACTGACTTTGCCAGCATGCTCATCAGCCTCTTCTCTCTCTGGATGTCCTCCCGGCCAGCCACCAAGACCATGAACTTCGGCTGGCAGCGAGCTGGTGAGGGCCCTGGTCTGGACGGGAGTGGGGTTGGAAGAGGGGCAGGTCAAGACGGGGATTCTTAGGTGGCTGTAATGGGTGGATTCCTTAAGTGAGGCCAGTAGGGTGACTTTCGTGGGGAAAGATAATGTCAAACTTGGCTTCTGTTCTCGGGAACTCCCAGTCTGGGGGCAAGGAGAGTTCACCTTCCTATGAAATGAAGTGGGTACCCTTCAAGAACCAATGACTATACACACGACAAACTAATTGCACAAGAGTCCATGGATCAGCTCTGGAGGTGGGGGGCGGGAAAGGTCAGCAAAGCTTTCTGGAAGTTACACCCTTTTCAGTTCCTCTCTGGGCTGCATCGTCATTTTCCTCTTGGTGGGAGACGGCCCAGCCTCTCCTCCTCAGAAGCCTCAGTTTGCCAGCTGAGCAATGGGTATATATATTTTTAAAGTCATTTTCATTACATGTAAAACAAAAAGGCTTAACTCAAATGACTAAAGTTCCTTCTAGCTCTGACACTGTCAGATGTTTGAGTGGTGGGGTAAGGTGCGGCCATACTTTCAGCAAATCCCAATCAGACCCGGGCCCTGACTTGGGGTGAGGGTGGGGAATCCTAGAGGGAGGAGGAGGTCCCCTCAGCCATAGGACTCCATGCTAAGATTGGTGTTGGGATCGGTTCTTCCTCAGAGATCCTGGGAGCCCTGCTGTCTGTGCTGTCCATCTGGGTCGTGACTGGGGTACTGGTGTACCTGGCGGTGGAGCGGCTGATCTCTGGGGACTATGAGATCGAGGGGAAGACCATGCTGATAACGGCAGGCTGTGCTGTGGCCGTGAACGTCATGTGAGTGAGTCCTCTCTCTTCCCTTCTATGTACTTTCTGGTGGAAAAAAGGCAGGGCCAACTCCAGTATAGGCTACAGGAATAGCATTTCCCTAACAGTCTGAGCTCTGGCCCCTGAACACCTGAGTTCTGCCTTGGGCCTGGGCCAAGTCCATCAGGAACTGTAAATCTGGGGCAGCATAAATCCCCCCCCCCATACATGTTGGTGAATAACCTGGGAGGTTTCATACCTGAAATGGGGAGGGGTTAGTCTAGTTCTTGCAGGAGCAGATGTCCCTAGGGGAAGGATCCAAGTTCTTTTTCAAGGTGATGTGACTGAAATTGGTCTCAGTGAGAGGCAGGGTGTGTAGAGCATCTGTGTTATTTGGGTTCTCTCTCCCTTGTTCAGTGGCCTAGGGAAAGCCACTTCCCTATGACTCAGTTTCCCCATCTGTGACATGGTGGGGGAAACTGATGACTTCCATGGTGCCCTCTTGCTCTGAGATTTGGCACTGAGGCATCTGTGTGCCCAGATTCAGCCTGGCCTTGGAATTGAGCCCTTTCTTCATAGCACTCTGAACCAAGGCCTCATGGGTCTGGGTCAGGTTCCTCATGTAGCCAAAGGGATCATGCAGTCTGGGGGTTTGGGGTTTTTGCCCCACCAGGAGGCCAGCACTAATGGGTGGCCTCCGCCTGGCTGATTTGAAGCCTCTACCTGCTACCTTGGCTTTGTCTCCACTTCCATAGAATGGGGTTGACTCTTCACCAGTCTGGCCATGGGCACAGTCACAGCCATGGGCATAGCCATGTCACCAGCCAGCAGCAGAACCCCAGTGTCCGAGCTGCCTTTATCCATGTGATAGGAGACTTGCTGCAGAGCTTGGGTGTCCTGGTGGCGGCCTATATTTTATACTTCAAGGTCAGAGCTGGGGACAGAGGGAAGTGGGCCAGGGGATGGAGGTGGGCAGGGTGTAGATCATTTTGGGGCTCCTCTCTGCACAGGCCCCATTCCAGATTCTAGCTCCCTCCCAGCTCTTGGCAAAAGGGTGAGGAGAGGGAAGGAACATTTATCCAACTTCTGAACTTCACAACAACCTTTATCAGCATTTCTGATCCTCACAACAACCCGGAAGGTAGACAGTGAGTGGTCTTTTCTGCAGCACAGAAAGGTTCAGTGACTTTCACGGCATCACACAGCTAGTAAGATGTAGTGCCATATTCATACCCAGTACTGTGTGCTGCCAAAGCCTGGGCATTGCCCATTACATAGAGGCAGTGCGGTGTATTGGAAGGAGTGTTGGGTTTGAACCCTTGCTCCACCACTTGCTAGCTGTGAGATGTAGAGTGAGTCCCTTGCTCTGAGCCCCTGTTTCTCTACCTATAAAATGGAAGTGATGGACTAGATGTTGTCTAAGATTCCACTTAGATCTGTCCATGTCTCAGCCCCTTGGCAAGGAGGGGTGGGAAGGGACTATGCCTGTCATGCCTGTCCTTCTGAGCGTGGAATCAACTGGGAGGCAGGGCCGGGGTAAGGCTCATATCCACCTGCAGAGCAAGCCCCTCTTGCCTCCACAGTGCTGGGAGGGAAGGGAGAAGAGCAGCTGAGGTGTTAGGCGTTGAGCCCTAGCTCTGCCTTCCCGTTCTCCTGCAGCCAGAGTACAAATACATAGACCCCATCTGCACCTTCCTCTTCTCCATCCTGGTCCTGGGGACAACCTTGAACATCCTGAGAGACGTGATCCTGGTGCTAATGGAAGGTAACTGGGCTTGGGCTCCCTTTTTGCTCTTGGCTCTCCAGCTCTAATTGAAGTTCCAGGTGGGAGTTAGATCTCAGCACATTGGTGGGGAGCCAGGGTCTGGAACCTGGCATAGCCTGGGGCCCTAGGCTGATCTTGGCATGGAGCTGGGCCCTCAGGTATGGCCATTCCTGGAAATGTCACCTGGACTATGCCTTTCCTTCCCCCTCGGCCCAAAGGTAGCCTCCTCCCTGCTGAGATGTGTCCTCCTTGCCTAGTCAGGTGGTTTCTGGGTTGGGTCTGTAGCACCTGGCACTCTAGCCCTTCCCCATACACTTCCTCAGTCTCCATTTGCCTTCCCTCAGGCAGACGAGAGGGGTGAGGATTATTCTCCCCATTGCACAGAGGGGCAGACTGAGGGGCAGAAAAAGACAGTCAGTGTTGGACAAGATTGCTGAACCTGTGAACCAGCTCAGGCCTTCTTTTCTGAGGCCCCTGCCTCAGGAGGATGTGGCTGGTCTCCAAGGGGTGCTAGTTAGTGGCAAATGGTCTACCCCGAGTTATCACACCGATCACCCAGCTTTCTTGTGCTCCAGGTCTTGGGTCATGGGTCTCTGTGTGGGCAGGGTCAATGTGGATCCTGGTTTGGGGTCAGCAGGAGTGTCTTGCTGCAGGTCAGAACTTTTCCTCCAAGAATGTGACTGACCCAGATCAAACTGATCATGATGATGTCCCACATGGGTGCAGCAATCTCTGGATTTCCTTCTTTCCACTAAAAAAAAAAAAAAAAAGGCCAACCTCTTTTTATTGAGCACCTACTATGGGCTAGGCACTGTTATAGGCACTAATGAGGATAAGGTGGTAAATAAAGCAGACTGTCCTACTCTCATGGAGTTTCCATTTTAGAGGGGGAAACAGGCCGGAAACTAACAAGCAAGATAATTTCAGACAGTGTTAAGAGGAAAATACAACGGGATACGATGGAGATCATTTGGGAGGTGGGCAACAGCAGATCTGCTGGCCAAGGAGCTCTTCTGAGATGACACTGGAGGAGCAGGAGCCAGCATGGGCAGAAGGGAGCAGTTTCCCTCACCCCCATCCCTGCTGTCCCCAGGGACCCCCAAGGGCGTGGACTTCACTGCTGTTCAGGATCTGCTGCTGTCGGTGGAGGGGGTGGAAGCCTTGCACAGCCTGCATATCTGGGCACTGACTGTGGCCCAGCCTGTGCTGTCTGTCCACATCGCCATCGGTGAGTGGTGGGGACACTTCGGGCGGGGTGAGGGGGAGGTCGCCAGAGAGGCCTGGGGCATCCCTGACAGGTCCAGATGCTTGTAGTGCCCCTGCTTTGAGCCTGGCCCCATGCTGAGTGCTTTACACTCATTATTTTATTGATCATCACAATCCCATTTATAGATGAACTGAGTCTGGGGGAGTGGCAGGGTGGTGGAGTCACTTGCCCAGGCTTTTATACCTAAGTGGCAGAGGAAAACCTTAAAGTCAGGGCTTTTCCTGTTCTTTCAGGATTGTGCCAGGTGTGGAAATGGAGGGGGGGGGGGTACCTGGTGCAGGAGTGGAGAGTTAGGCTCCTGATTGTTTCTAAGCGCCCAAGAGTGAGTCAACGTTTTTCTGCTGCCTCCCCTGGTGTGTCCTCTTGGCCCCCAGCTCAGAACACAGATGCCCAGGCTGTGCTGAAGGCCGTCAGCACCCGCCTACAGGGGAAGTTCCATTTCCACACCATGACCATCCAGATCGAGGACTACTCTGAGGACATGAAGGACTGTCAGGCATGCCAAGGCCCCTCGGACTAACTGCCAGGCCTGGTGCCAACTGGGGCATGGACAGGACCTGCAGATGGCGGGGTCCAGTTGTCTCCCAGGCCCAGCCAGGACTCTATTTACCATGGCTGTGATATAAACCAGATCCCTCTCCTGACCCTTACTCCAGGAATGGGGCTCTTCCCTGCCTCCCCCATCTGACTATAGCCAGCCCCAGGATGGGGACTCAGCAGGTGTAAAGCTAGTATGATCCCATTCCTCCAGCTCCTGGGTCAGTTCCTGGCAGGGCTGGGTTTGGGCCTAATCCTCAGCTAATGCTGTCTTACCACCAACCTCAGGGAAAGGCAGTGAGGGATGCTGGAGGGGTGCCTGGCCTCCACACCCCCTGCCTACCTGCCTCATTGCCCATTTTCTTTGCCTTATGAATCTATAAAGAAACCTGGGGCAGAGCCTCCTCTCTGCCTCACACGGTCTGATTTAAGGAGGCCGTGGGGGAAGGGAGTGTGAGGCAGGCTGGTATGCCAGGACACGTGGAACAGCCAGCCCTCTAGTAAATCACAAAACCCTATCTTCCTAACCAAGGACACTTAAGAGTAAGTGGTTTATACTTCTCCCCAACCAGAGGGTAACTAACTGAAACCACCCTACTCAAGGAGACAGATAACAGAAATCCAATTACTACCATTTGTGCCAACCACACCCAAGGATGGATTAAGTCAGGGGAATAAATCTCATTTTGGTACATCAGCATAAAACTGAGTTGTTGTTGTTGTTTTTCTCTTTATTTTTTAGAGAGAGAGAGATGGAAACATTGATGAGAGATAACATCAATTGGCTGCCTCCTGCATGTCCCCCACTGGGCATGTGCCCCGACTGGGAATTGAATCGATGACCTCTTGGTGCATGGGTCTATGCTCAACCACTGAGCCACACCCAGCTGGGCATGCTGAGGAATATTCTATTGAGATCCTCCCCTAAACCCCCAGGCTTTAAAACATCTCAAGATGGCCCTGGCCCTGAGCAGTGGTTAGAGCGTTGGCCTGTGGTCTGGAAAGACCCAGGTTCAGTTCCTGCTAAGGGCACGAACCTCGGTTGCAGTTTGCCCCCGGCCCTGATTGGGTCATGTGGGTGGCAACCACTCGATGTGTCCCTTTCACGTCGATGTTTCTCTCTCTCTCCCCCTCCCACTCTACCTGAACAAAATATTGAAAAGTGTCCTCGGGTGAGGATAAAACAATAAATTAAACTCTCAAGATGAAGACCCAGCATGGTGCCCCTAGTGAGCAAACCTGGGCCTTTCCCTTCCCCCTCCTCTACCCCTCAGGTGCATTACCTCTGCCTTTCTCCTAACCTCCAAGGGCCCTTCAGTAACTTTCTAAATAAACTTTCTCTTATAATTTGCATTCTTGGCTCTGAAATCTTTCTTTGCCGAACTTAAGAACCAAGGTACAGTTTCGCTGTTAACATAAGAACCCTGCACTCCTAACGTGTCCCTGAGATGGACAGCCAGGGGGCACCTGAGGCCCATCTGTGGAGTGGTCACTTCAGCTGTGAGCCAATATTTCCCTTTTCCAGAGGGAGGAGGCTTCTGACTAGGTAAGAACCTGGCTGGTTTCCTCTCTGCTTATTTGTCCAGCTCAGGAAGCTGTGCCAACACAAAGAGACCCTGGCCACAGTTGGGGGGAGGGGTACGGAATGCATCCTGGGTTCCACCTTAACCACCTCACAGCTCCTGGGCCACTTCTGATAGTGTCCTGGGGAACTCAGAGCCCGAAATCAGATCTGGTTGGGCCAGCTCTGTTGTCCCTATGGCCTGCCATGCTCTGAACTTAGAGATGGAGGACAGAGGGACTGTACAATTGGGACAGGAGACATTGGCTTCCTGGAGTATGTGAAGGTTCCTGAATTAAGGCTGACTTGTGTTTATAAGATGGGGACGTCCTCAGTCTCACAAAGGAGGCAGCATGCCCAACATCAGGTGGTCCTGGTCTAGTGATCTCTCCACCATAACAAGCAAGTGCCCATATGCCTCCACCTACCTCACGGTGGTTGTGAGAGCCTGGTCAGTGAAGAGTGGTTACTTCTATCTTATCTTGGAAAGATGCAGCCTGAGGCTGCCTCATTGAGGTGCCAGGTGGGCTTCCCAGCCTCCCCAGGGGCAGCAGTGAGTTTGTCTTAACTCTGTCCTTACCCATGGCAGGAAAAGGGGAGCTTGATCCCTCACCTCCCGCTCTGAGCCTCTCTTCTCATCTGTGTAATGATGTCTTTGTGCCTTTCTAGCACTGACATCCAGGGTTGCCTGTGACCTAGGTCAGTGGGTTCTTCACCCCTCAAAATCAGTGGGAAATCACTTTGTGTTAGCTTGGAAGTGTGTGTGGGGAGGGGGAGGGGTTGCTGATGGCCATCAACATGCCTCCACCCCAGTCTCCAGGGAATCAACATTCCTTCCCCCTCAGCCATGGCAGGCCCCAGGAACCTGGATCCTGAGCTTTGCTGTATGGCAAGTCCTTACACTCCTCACCAGTCATTGAGATGCTCCATTTTTACAGATGAGAAACTCAGAGAGGTTGACTCATTTGCCTTCAGTCAGACTGCCAGTGTGAGGCAGGTCTGGGGTTTCTGCCTCATTCACCTTCTCCTCCCCCTACAGCAGGGGCTAGGGACCTGCTCTGGGCTGCATGTTGTTACAGTGTGAGTCCTTGGGCCTAGCAGTGCCCTCCCCATGGGCAAGTCTATGCCAAGGCAGTTCAGCGTTCTGAGTGCCCCAGCTGTGATTGGGGAGAAGCAAGGTGCCTCCTTCCCCTGCCTTGGCCTGGCACTCCAAGCCCTCCACCTTGGGAAGGCTGCCAGGGCTGCAGCTGTGTGCTTCCTCACCCACTCTCAACTGTTCTTGATCCCGGGCCAGGCTACCTCCCATCTTCTTTACTCCCAGCCCCGCCCTCCTCCACCTCAAGAATCTATCAGCCCCATGCCTCTCAAGGGAGAGCCTTCTAGGCACCCCCAGCTGTGACTGGCCCCCAGGGAGGATCTGAGTCATCCAGGGGCAAAAGGTCAAGCTAGAGGATGGGGATGGGAAGCCTTGGGGGACAGCATGTTCTGGCTAGTGAGCTAGTCACGGGAGTTTCCAAGGCGTTGAGGCGATCAAAGCAGAAGACACCTGACACCCTGGATCTGGGCTGGACCCACTATCCCCACCCCTCTGGAGCCGTCCCCCTCCCAGGTTCTTCCCCCGCGCAGCTGCTGTAGCGGTATTTATAGCCTGAGCTTGGAGGACAAGGACGCGCTTTATTTCGGAAGTGATAATTCCTGTTCCAGATGGATGAACCCGGGAGAACCCAACGTCTCCTCCCCAACAGGTGCACTCTCACCTACAGGCACTCCAGATTCTGCTCCCACCTAGAAATGGCCCTGCTTAGTCCTAAGTGTGTGGATCACAGGTTGGGGCTATTCTTTCAGCTATTCCCCCACTCCCTGAGTTTTCAGACCTCAGGCTGCGCACCACCAAGCCTCCTTGTCGCCTGGCTTGCTCTCCGACCCGGAGGAGGGAACGCGGAACGACGCTGACCTCTAGTGGTCCAGGCCGGTAGTGCAGGGCGATGGCCGCGCCTGAGTCCAAGGTCCCTGGTCCGCAGGAGCCGATCGCCTGCGTTCTCATTCCTTTCCTCCCCTCCCCATTTTGCGCGGCCGGGTCGGGAAGGAAGCCGGGAAACTGGCTGTCCGGCGCCTCTTTGCTCCAACTCCAGACGCGAGGATTGCGCCTGGCAACCCAGGCGTCTGTGGATAGCTGCCTTCCAGCCGGAGTAGGAACCCCAGGGATGGGGACGGTTTTGTCTTCTCACTCGGCACATCTTGTCCACACTCCCGCCACCGTCCTCACAGGGCCAGGCACGCAGTTGATGTCTCTTCTCATTATCTGTCCGTCACATTTCGTAGCGCACCTGCAAGGCCAGAGAGACGAGGACACGACCCTGCCCTCCCGGGGCTCCCAGGCCAGTCCTGGGGCCTGATGGTGTACGAGGCGAGACAGCATGAACAGCGCGGGGCTGCGGAAACCACGGGCTGTGAAAGCGCAGAGGAGACCAAACTGATCCGGAGAAGGGGTGGGGCTAGGCAAGTCCTTGGAGCAGGCGACGACTTCAAAGACAACTAGAAGTGAGGCACCGAGACAAGACAGCTCAGCGCATCTGGGAACTGACACTGGCCGCTGGGCTGGAGAGTGGGGCGAGGTCCCGCCCCCTCCGGGCGCTATGATATGATTGGCTAATCCGGATCTGACGTGTTGGCCAACTGGGAACCATGATTGGGTCCCTAGATGCCTCAAGAGAGGGAACATCTAAGCCGAGCCTCCCCTCCAAGCAGATGCAGCGCCCCCAGGAGCAAGGGAGGGGTCGCCGTGGGCCCTTCTTAAGGCTTCTCCAGGCTGCGATACTTCTTGCGCAGCACGGACACCGGGTCCTTGAAGAGCACTGGGTCCAGACGGAGGCGAGAGGACACCAGGGGCATGTGGCCGAACCCTGCTGCCACCTGGTTGATGCAATCTTGGTTTAAGGGCTGCGGCGCAGGTTCGGACCCGAGGCCCGCAGGCACCTAAGAAGGGAAGGAGAAATGTGTCGAAGGATTTCGGTCCTTCCGAACCCAGCCTCTCCCCGCCCCCTGCAGCAGAAAGCATTCGGGTTGGCGGGTGAGAGGGAACCCTCCCTCCCTCCCTTCCCAGTGCAAACCAGCCCCCTTCCATCCTCACCAGTGGTGGTCTGCCTTCCTGGTGCCCCTTCCCATAGGGCACCTTTATAGGGGGCAGCTTGGTGACTGATGCTACTAGGAAGTTCATGAGGACGTCCACACAGGTGGGTGCGTCATCTGCCAGGCTCCTCAGAGCCTTGGACAGGGAGTAGGTGAAGAGGGTGTGGTAATACCTGGGTGAGGGAGGAAGACAGGAAGAGGTTGCAGCCCAGGCACCAGTTTCCCCGTCCCATCCTCTCTTTCCCTTTGACCCTAATCTCCAAGCCTCTTGAGAAAACCCTGCTCCCCTCTCTGAGCCCTGGCCACTTCAGAGAACTCCCACCTCAAGCACTAACTGCTCTCCACTGTTCTGTGCTCTGTGGCTTGTCTGCAGCCAATGGAGTAGTCCCTGCCCCCTCCTCACAGCTCCCTGGGGCTCCCACCCCAGGCTCTGAGGCATGAACTCAGCCAGAATGCAGGGGAATCAGCTGGTTCCCAGGCCATCAAAAATGGCAGCCCAAAGCCAGCTTCTGGAAGGACACAAGGACAGGATTAACCAGGCTGAGGCCACCCAGGTGAGCCTTGCTTCACAGAGCCCCCTACAGAACAACCTGGGCCCTGCAGACATTAGGGGTCTCATCCACTCTACTGAGAATTCCCTGCACGAGGTTCCCTATTTGGTTTAAACATGTTTGGTTTATTTTTGTTTTTTTATCCTCACCTGAGGACATTTCTCCATATTTTGTTCAGATAGAGTGGGAGGGGGAGAGAGAGAAAGAGGAACATTGACATGAAAGGGACACATCGAGTGGCTGCCACCCGACTCAACCAGGGCCGGGGACAAACTGCAACCGAGGTACGTGCCCTTAGCAGGAACCAAACCCGGGTCTCTCTGGACCACAGGCCGACACTCTAACCACTGAGCAAAACATGTTTGGTTTAAAACTTGTTTAAGGAACTCCTCTAAAGAGGCCCTCCAGAATTTAGTCCCTGCCCCAAGCGTGGGGTGCACATTTATTTTTTTTTAATTTATTAAAATTTATTTTCTTTTATCATTTGATTATCACACCAGCCCTGTGAGGTGAATACATTTTACAAATGAGGAAGCTGAACCTCAAGAGATGGGACATGGCAGATCTGGGCCTTGAACCTGGATCTCTGGGTTCTAAGCTGACTGCTGTATTCACTCCCGTGCTATCCTGCTCTTGGTGTAAGGAGGGAGTGTCTGGCCCTCTGATCCCAGTGCCAGGGCTACCACCCGTACCTATGGTAGAAGGCAGCAGAGGTGAGGACCATGGAGAATTCATTGGCCCTCTCAGCAGTGTAGCCCCAGCCACCCTGGGCCTCGTCCCAGAAGTGGCTCCATGTCACAAAGCCCACCATGCGCTCTGGGAAGCTCTGCCACACCGCAAAAGCGAAGTCCACCTGGGGAGATATTGACATGAGGTGTGAGGAAGGAACATCCAGTGATGAGGCCAAGCCAGCCTGGCTGAAGGGACTCAGGAGAGGAGATAAGAACATAAAAGTTTCCAGGGGATGCTTAGGGGAACTTTTTCAGCTGGGAGCTGAAAAAAAAAAAAATGTTTTCGAAAGATTTTATGAAAAGCTTCTGTTGGATTTCTAAGGAGGAGGCTGAGTGGCTTGCTGGGGTGGTTTCAAAGGCAAATGGCTGGACCTCTTGACATCTGGCCCTCCCAGCTCAGGGAATCGGAGGGGCCTCCAGGGCCCTGTGGCTCAGTCCCCACCTACACTGGGCCCAGTCCTCACCTCACTTGTGGAAAGACTGCTGTGGGCATCGAGGCTGAGGATGGCATCGGTGCTGATGGCACTGTACGGGAAGAAGCGGTCACTGACCTGCAGTGGGAGGGGGGTGAGGGCAGCTAAGCGGTGGGAACCTCCCCAGGCTCCCACAGTGAATGTCCGAGGATCTGCTAAGCAGGAGTCCGGCAGGCATGGTGTGAAGGGAAGGCATGAAAATAGTAAGCCTTCCGGGAACTCGAACCTGAGGAACTCCTTTTACCTCTCTGGAATCCAGTTTTCCTTTTTGGTGAAAAGGGGCTGTTGGTGCTAGGGGCCCTTTCAGTTTTGACATCTCAGGATTGCTCCCTTATTTCATTGGATGCTCACCTCAACCCTGGAAGGGTTTGTCAAACATCCTTCATTTGAAAGAAACAGGTGCAGAGATAAAGGGACTTGCCCAGAACCACACAGCAGACAGGTGGCTCATACCATCCCAGGTTCACAGAAGATACTCCCCTCTGGCCCATTTGCCATGTTTCCTCAGGATCCCAGGTTTCTCCTCAATCCCTCATCTGAAAATCCAAAGTACTCCCAGCTCATAAAACCCCATTTCTCTGGAAGCACAATTCACAAGGGCCAGGGATGGAAGAGAATCATTCCTATTAGGCCTGTAGCCCAAACCTCCTGTCCAATTTCTTCAGGCCCATCGTGAAGTCCAGCTTTAGCTCGGGCCCAAGTAAATGCCCTCCCCCGTTCCCAGCCTTCCAGGGCTGAGCTCACCCCTTCCACGCTCCTCCCCATCCCTTACCTTCCTGTGCCCCTTGATGACTATCAAGGGCACTACTGTCTCAGGCCACCTGGGCGGGAGTGGCTTGTCATTGCTCCAGAGAACCAAGATCTAGGAGGAAAGGGTGCATTACTGAAGTCTGGAGCAGAAAGAGCCCACGAGCCATCTTTCTCAGGATGGAAGAAATATTGGGTGAGCAGCTGTATACGTGTTTGGGAGAAGAGCTTAGTTGGAGTCAAGGTCCTTTGGTTACTGCCCTGTTGTTGCCTCCAGGCTTCTGGAAGGCAGGAATTCCAGTGACAGGAAGGTAGCTTTCTGTGGCGTTAGAACTCAAGAGAGTTCTAGTGGTGGACCCCTAGCCTGGGTCCTGACCCCATATCCCATCCCCATGTTGTCTCGGAGATTTTCATTTTCTTCCTCCTGTTTCATTATTATTCCCAGCCCAGCTCAAATGTCCCATCTTTGTTGCCACTCCAGCCGTGTCCTGGCTGAGCTCACTGCTTCCCCCTCTACAACAATCTAGAGTCTAGCTGGCTTCTCTGGAAATGGCATTTGACAGTCCGGCGCTGGGAAATGCAAAGTGAATCTGAATCCCAGGGCAAAATCCTTTCTCGCTTTTCCTCTGCATCCTCAGCATCAAGCCCAGGGCCTGGTGCTCAGAAAGTGACTGCTGGGTGAATAAATGAGTGAACACAGATGTTTATTTCTCCAGCCTCCCCAAGAGACACCTACCTGCTTTTCAGATGGAGTCATCACTTTCCATGGGGGGACAGAGAGAAGGTGGGGGGAAAGTACAAGAAACTTGGGTCTTAAAGAAGAAGGCAGTAAGGGCCCTTGAAAGTCCTCCCCATGCCTCCACTCCCCCCAAAATGGGTGGTATCTTTAGGGTTTATGTGTCTTCACGGGCACTGCCCTGTCCTCTGCCCCCACCCTGGATTCCAGGACCCCGGCTGGCAGGGGGCAGACCTGGGCACAGTGCTGGGAGCCTGCCACTGCCTGGATGAGCTTCAGGGGGGGCTGGCCTGGGGCCCCCACCCAGATCAGGGCGCTGAACCTGCCTTCAGGGCGAGAGCCTGGGGGAATGAGACACAGGCTATTAGAGTGAGAGGGGACAGAACCCCCTGATGAGTGACCCAGGTTGGGGACCCTGGGAACCAGGAGAGATGTTGGGGACTTGGGAAGGGCCTTGGTGGGACTCTATGGTTGACACTTGGAGGAACTTGGGGAGAGTTAATGAGGGGACTTAAGGTTGTCCCATCCCCAGGCCATACCCTGCTGTAGGTGATAGAAGGGAAAGTCCGAGGGACTTGTGGAAAACATGGGCAGGGTCAGGAGTGCCCCCGGGGGGCTATTCCACAACAGTGTCGGGTGAGCAGATACTCCAAGGATCCGGTCCTGAATAATCTGCAAAATGAGAGCAGGCTCTGTAGAGGGAGTGGCCAGGGTGGCAGTGGGCGGGGTCTGAGGAAGTGAGGACCTGGTGTGTCCTGGAACTTTCCCTGTCAGGCTATGGAGGAGGATAGGGTGGTAGCTGCATCACCCAAATCCCTGGAGACAGAAGGGTTCAGAAGTCCAGAGTACAGGGCACTTGGAGATGGTGTCCAGAGTTGGCAGATGTTGGTGAGCTCGCTGCCTCCCTCTCCTTCCTCACTCACAACAGACATCACAGCTGATGACATTCTTTCCAGACCCAGAACCCCTCCCAACGCAGTGCGGGGGCAGCCAGGACCTATCAACTGGAGTTGGTACATACTTTGGAATCTATTTGTCACAGCTGTCCCTCTCCAGAAGGGGAACCTGGGGCCAACACTGGGGAAGAAATTTACCCAAGAGCTCCAGTCTTACATTCATCCCAGAAGCATCTTTAAGAGGGAAGCCCAGACAAGGCAGAGGAGGCACCCAGGCAAGGCAGAGGGGGCACCCAGGCAAGGCAGAGGGAGCACCCAGGCAAGGCAGAGAGGGCACCCAGACAAGGCAGAGGGGGCACCCAGACAAGGCAGAGGAGGCGTCAAGAGGGGCAGAAGCCAAGTGCCAGAGGCCCTACCAGGCGAGGCCCCCTTACCTCTAGAGTGGTATGGATGACCTTCTCCACTGAGGAGAAGTAGGTATCCCACAAAAACTGGGTCTGCTGACGCAGGGCCAGGACCCGCGTGGGTGGCATCTCCTGGAGGGCAGCCAGGACCTGGGCCACAGAGGGAGAAAAGGAGAAGGCATGCCCTAACTGACCCTGGGGTGGGGACACCTGGGGTTGGAGGTCTGGGAACCAGAAGGCCTCTCTCCATGGTTCTCCAGAGTTAGCAGTAGCCACCCCAGGCCAGGTCCCAGGTAACAGAGCATCAAGAGTTCAAGGGTCACAGAGGGCTGAATTTAAATGCCATTTAGTAACTGTGACTGTGGACAAGCTGCTTAACCTCTCTGAGTCTATCTCCTCATCTATAAAGTGGGGGTGATAATTGCACCTGCCCTGTAGAGTGGTTGTGAGGATTAAGTTAGTACACACTGAGTTCTCCTCACATTGTAGAGGTGCAGTGAATGGCAGGTATTACTAACTCCCTCCACCATTCTCACTTCTTAGCAGATTAAAGGCTCACACATCTGTTTTTCAGAGCTGGGCAAAATTAGTTTCATCAGATGGAAAAGCCACTGGGTCTTTTCCTTTGCCAATCAAAGCCCCATGGAGACACTACAATTTGGGATTGTGTGTGTGTGTGTGTGTGTGTGTGTGTGTGTGGTCTTCCCTTAAATTGGATATTTAAGTAGTCATGGGCCAGTGGGGCTGAGTCAATGGAGTTCTCCTGTTCTAACTCATTCCATTGTACAAATGGGGAAACTGAGGCTGAAAGAGGCTCAGGACTTGCTCTCAGAACCCTCCGGAGTCTGCCTCTTTCTGATCCTATGGAGTCCCAGAGGCTTGGAGCCGGGGGCAGAGGTGGGGTGCCAAATCATCAACATACCACATAGAGGGGAGATAGGAATGAGGACTGAGGCTCCCCTGGGGCTGGGATCCTGGGGTCCCTCCCATGTCCTGGGTCCAGTCCCCGCTCGTAGGCAGGGTCCTCCGCTACCTGAAGTGGAAGCCTCTCATCAGCTACAATGGCCGCCTTGGTCCAGTCGATGACCTCGGAGAAGGGCAACTCCCAGTGTGGGCTGAGAAGCACAGGGATGCAGCCAGCCTGGGAAGAGGGGTGTCACTGGGGTGCCCAGGCCCACCCTGCACACACTCACCCACCTCCCAGTTCCAAGTCAGCAGCTGCTGCTATTGGGGGCAAGGAGCAAAGAGGAGAGGAAAGTGGTTTGGGGAGTGTGGGTGTTCTGCAGAGGGCGAGATGAACATGGCCGCTGGCCCTGAGTCCCAGGGTAAAGGCTCAAAGGGCAGCTCGCTTCTCCTTCCCATTGGCCTGGGACCGGGAGAACGCTGGCAGCTCAGGACTGTGGGGGCACAGGATGGGGGATGCCCACGTTGGGGTTGTACCTGCAGGGCTTGGAGGAAGTGCGAGGCGCCAGGACCTGGGATGAGGCAGAAGATGGCATTGGGTAGCGATGCCCTAGGGTGGGTCCTAAGGAAGGACAGGAGGGGTCCAGCACACATGAGGCCCGAGACAGCTGCCCTTCCCCCCACCTGGCTCCTTCTGTGACACCCCAGCCCCCATACCAACACTCCCAGATTCACAATGTACAAACACATCGTGTTCTCGTATGTTAGCAAACACTCATGCATGAGCAAAGCTACACACTGATACACAAGCACCAGCATCACACTCGTCCCACACTCACACCTGGGCTGGGAGGCAGGTGCCCTGGGTCCTAGCTCTGCCCCTGCCCTTGCTGGCCTTAGACACCTCCCTTCTCCTCTCTGGCCCAGTTTCCTCACTTCAAGATGGGAGGCGGCAGGATCTGACTTTCCAAGGCCCAGTCTGACTTGGACCCACACGTGTGTGCCCTCCCGCGGCTCTGCCACACACGGAATCTCAGGCAGCCCTCACCTGAGTGGCGGCTCCACGCCCTGCCCTCCCCCATCCTGAGAGGCCAGGCCATGAAAGGCTCCTCTGTCACAAGGTGGGCTGGGCCCCCAGCCTGGAACCACACAAGAAGCTGCTGTCCAGAGGCCCTCCAGCCCAGGACAGGCATCCTCTGTTCCTCTGCGCCCCACCCCCACTCCAGGGCCACACTCAGGCTATGTGCCTGTAGGGTAGGGGGGCAGTCATTGCCTCCTCAGAGTCACTTCCCTGGGACTGCCCACCCAGAGAAGTAGTGCCCATGACCTAGCCGCTGGGCGGGAAGGGGTGGTGCGGGCAGGGCTTCTGGGCTCACAGCATGCTCAGAGTAGGACTGATGAATAGCCCAGACGTCCCAGGGTCCTCCTGAGCCACAGCCTGTCTGGTCCTACATCTGAACCTTCAAGAAGCAGTCCTGGGAGTCCGTAGTCAGTCTCTGGACCAATCCTCACTGAACAGATGGGGAGACTGAGTCCCGCTCAGAGAGGAGCTCGGGGTCTCAGCAAGGATTGGGCAGAGCCGGAGCTAGAATCAAGGTGTGCTAACTCCAAACCCTGGGTTATTTGAACCACCCAGGGCTGCTGCTAGGGTCTCCCAGAGGACCTCTGCCTTCTTCCTCCAGTGCTCAGGTGTCCTCCAGGCTGTCCCTGGAAGAAGCCACAAGTTAAACAACAGAACACCTTCCACTTCATTAAAAGGGGCAACACCAGCCAGCTGTACCCCCTCCCCCACCCCAGTAAAGCCTTAAGGGACTGCAAATGCCTAAGGTTCAGGCTTCAGAGAACCCAGAAACAAAGAGCCTGCTGAATGAACCACCCTACTCAGTCCTCATTAGCCTCCACTGTTTCCTCTCTTTGCAAGTCCTTCTACCTCAGCCCGGAGCATCCCTCCCCTGCCTCGCAGCCCGAGGAAACCTACTTGATCTTAATGTCTAAGTTCAGACATCATTTCCTTCAGGAAGCCTTCCCGATTGCCCTAGAGATGCTCCCTCCCCTCTGCTCCCATAGGCCCTGTGTGCACTGCTGTAGTAGTGAGCCAAGCTAACCTTTACTGAGCACACACTTTGTGCTTTACGTCCGTGACCTCAGTTCATTCTCACGCAACCCTACGAGATGGCAGGCATGTGATGTTAGTATCCCGTTTTACAGATGAAGAAACTGAGGCCCACCTAGCTCTGAAGTACAGGGCCCAGGCAGGCATCTTGCACAGCCTCTCTCTGCTTCAGTGTGTGTCATAACCATGGACTTGTCCGTCTCTCCTACAGGACTGAGCTCCACGAGGACAAGGCTGTGACCTCCCTCATCTCGGTATCTCCAGGGCCTAGCAGAGCGCCTGGAGAATGGGCACTCAGTGGGTGCTAAGCGAATAAATTCTCAGTGTGCCAGAGAGGCTAGACCCGGGACCAACGGACCCAATGTCTGAAAAGTGTTTCAGCACAAATTCTAGTAATGGAGCTGGTGGTGAGCAGCCAGTGGGAGGCCATTGGAGGTGGTAAGTTCCCCATCAGTAGAGGTGTGTGTGTGTGTGTGTGTGTGTGTGTGTGTGTGTGTGTGGCTGTGTTATAGAAGGATTACTGTGGTAACTGCCAAAGAAGCCTTTGGGTTCTGTGACCATGCAAGGTGCTTGCCAGGGCCTCAGGGCCTCAGTGCCAAGGCTGGAGTCAAGGTGGCCCCACCGACCTTCCCATGCCCCAGCCTCGTGGCGCCTCTGCCATAAACACTTCATGAGAATTATATTTGATAACTGTGTTGATATAAAAATGAACGTATTAATATTATATATGAAAATGTTTTCTTCTACCTCAAAGTTCATATTTTTTTCTCCTGATTTTGAAAGAAATGAGAACATTTTCATAGGCTCCTAAAAGTATCATGGGTCCTAAGCACTGCACCCCCTGTGCCTAGCGGAGACGTTTATGCAAATAAACAGATAAACAGCGGGAGAGCACGTGCACGTGCTGCTGGTACACACAGAGCCTCAGACAAGACACAAGACCAACTAGCTGCGGTGTCTGGTTCCAGAAGGAAAACGAGGTGGCCAGAGCGGGCGCTGGGAGGGAGTTTTTACTGTGTACCTTCTTGTGCCTTTGGAATTTTGTACCATCTGAATGAATTCCCTATTCATAAAAATAAATAACAATTTCAATGAGCGGAGGCTTATTCCAAAGCAACAGGAGACTGTTCAACAAAGGTGGAAAAAACATGGGCTTCAGAGCCAGAAGTGCAGGGTTTAATCCCAATGCCAACTGCCTGGTCAGAAACAGGAGGGAGGCTGTGGAGAATCAAGGAGCTTGTCACTGAAGGCCCTTGGCTGGCTCCCTGCACCTCTCTGAGCCTCAGTTTCCTGTTCCCAGAAATGGGAATACTCGAAGGGTGGGCAGAGGATCAGGCATGCCTTACGTAAGGTGGCTGGCTCCGCACCTGGCCCAGGTCAAGCTTTCCCAAATACATGCTTCTTCCCCTCCCCCCCTGCCTGCCAGTTGCGTGAATGTGGGTCAGTGGCAGGGACTGAGAATCGCCTCTTTCTCTGGCCAGCAGTATATTCAGGCCACCATCCAGGGGCTGCCCCCGTGGCTGTAGGCCTCCCTCTATCTCTCTGTCCCTATACTGTCCGGCTCGCTCAGGCAGCTAGCTGGCACTCCGGGGAAACTGAGGCTCAAACTACCCCAGAGATTAGAACTCCTGTTACCTACAGGTGGGCTGAAGCCAAAGACAAGTCCTTGACATTCAGAGGACAATATTAGAGCCTACCAGGCATCATACCTACTGTATGCAGGTCCTGAACTTTCAGTTTCTCAAAGAAGTTCAGGCTGCAACCGCTTTCAGATTCACCAATAACCGATTGCATTTAGCAGCAGCTAAAGTCAGCGGGAAGCGCTTTCTGTAAGCGGGAATAGCTAAGTGCCCAGTCAGAAAATGACGCGGGAACGGTGCGTGGAGAACCTTGTCACCAAAGGTGAGCTCTGAGCTTGAGGTACCTGGGGGATCCTGGCTTTTCGGGTAACTGCCAAGGATGCCTGCTAGGGGGTGAGTCCTGGCAGAAAGGCTGAGGGGGCCCTGGCTGTGGTGCTCCCTTGAGGAGGGAAATGGATTCATTCCCACAAGTGCCCTTTGGCTGAGACAAGCCCCAGAAGCCCCAAGCAGGGGCAAAAATGGAGGAATTCCTGGGAGGGAGGGAGAGCTCAGAAGAGCCCATGTTGCTCCAACCAAAAACAGGAGGTGCCTGGGGGAAGGAGCAAGGGAAGGATGATAGATTCCAACTCAGGTCTGCCCTGGGAGATGGAGAGGGAACCCTCTGCTTCAGGGGCGCTGGACAACCTCAGTGGGATTTTCATTCTTGTCTGCCCAGCCAGCCTTTGTATACTGCTGGCCTCCTGGGGGTGCAGAGGGGTTAGGGCGCTTAGGGGTTAATTGCTCTATCACCTAAGGTATGTCACCCCAACTAGCCCAGGTAGACAGAAGTTTCTAAACAAGTATTTCATGTCCCATAGGCCCTGATGCCCCTTATTTGTATTCAGGACTCTCACTGGCAGGAAATTCTTCTGTAAATCTAACCTTATTCATATTTGCTGTAACTAAAGGCTATTTGCTTGAGAGGTTAATCCCCAAATTGAAACATAGAAGCAGTTTCTATCTGTGACTTATCTCCATGGCTCTGAGGCATTTGATGGGGTTGATCATAAACTCTTTTTATTTATTTTTATTTTTTTTATTTTTTCCTCACCCGAGGATATTTTTCCATTTTTTGTACAGATAGAGTGGGAGGGAGAGAAAGAGAGAGAAACATCGATGTGAAGGGACACATCGAGTGGCTGCCACCCTCACGACCAACCAGGGTCAGGGACAAACTGCAACCGAAGTACGTGCCCTTAGCGGGAACCGAACCCGGGTCTCTCCGGACCGCAGGCCGACGCTCTAACCGCTGAGCCAAACTGGCCAGGGCAATCATAAACTCTTAAAACTCAGAATTCTAATGCTGAAGGCTTTGGAGACTGGCAATTCTGAATTAAAATACTGGCACACTCTTTCTGGCTGGCTGACTTCAAACAAATTACTTAACATCTCTGAGCTTCAGTGACTGTACACAAACAGTGACAGCAATTGGTATTATCTTATTATAATCATTATTTATGAAAGTGCTTAGCACAGAGCAAGCACTATAGAAGTATATGTTAAATAAAATATTAAAATTGAATAAGAGAAAAAGAATAAGAGTGAGTTATGTTTTATGTTTTTAAAGATCCCTGAGGGAGGCCCTGGCCGGTTTGGCTCAGCGGTTAGAGCGTTGGCCTGTGGTCTGGAGAGACCCGGGTTTGGTTCCTGCTAAGGCCACGTACCTCAGTTGCAGTTTGTCCCCGGCCCTGATTGGGTTGTGTGGGTGGCGACCACCCGATGTGTCCCTTTCATGTCGATGTTTCTCTCTCTCTCTCTCTCTCCTTCCCACTCTATCTGAACAAAATATCGAAAAATGTCCTTGGGTGAGGATAAAAAAAAATAAAAATAAAAAAATAAAGATCCCTGAGGGAGGACTCCAAAACCTGCCTTGGATACCTCTTGCAGCAAATCACCATCTTGCTGGTAGTGCTTTCTGCTGTCTAACTTGAGTCCCTCCTGCTGTAGATGATTCTTCCATCTCAATCCTGCCCTCTACCCTGGCTTCTAGGCTCGCTCCCGTTACATATCCCTCCCATCCAGCCCCCAAGGAGAAAGTCCACTTACTGCTCAGATCCATGGTTCTGGTCACAGTGCCCATCCCAGGGGCAGGCAGAGGAGTTGGTACCTGCCGTGCGCCACCCACCCCTCTCCTCCGCCAGGGCTAGCAGAGCGACCCCGGGATGGGGGCTGTGCTGCTGCAGCTGGCCAGGAGCCCCACCTTGAAACGGGTGGGTTTCAGGGAGAAGCGGGAGGGCCACGTCGAAGCCAGGCCGGAAGGCGTCCACTGTGGGGCTGGCCTCGGCCACCATCGCCTGTCCCAGTTGGAAAGTCCAGGAGCAGGAGGCTGGGTGGAGCCGGAGAACCAGATGGTTCTGGCCCTCGTTCCATTCCGGGGGCACCAGGCTGCACTGTCCAGCTGGGGCATCCAGGCTGAGGACGTGGAGGCAGGCCTCGGTAGGGCTGACAGTGTGGTAGCGGGATCCCTCAATGGAAGCCAGGATCTTGAGCTGAGTCTCAGAGACGGGTCCAGCCACTGGATCCATGAACACCTTGAAACCACCACGCTTGCACTTCGAGGCGTCAAAGCAAGCTCCCCAGTTGCAGCTGCCGCCATGGGGGGCTTGAAGAGACTGAGGGGCATCTTCTGGGAGCTCCCCAGGCTGGGAGAAACTCTGCAGAAGCTCTGCATCCAGCCAGCGGGGCCAGCCTTGGGGGGCCCCTGCCTGAGGCCTGGTGGGCACTGCCAGACGGAGAAGGGGAAAGATTCCCAGGAGGCCAAGGAGCCAGGAGGCCAACAGTGCCAACCAGAGGGACTTCCTTCTCCACGACTGCATGTGGCCACCCACAGCCAGGGCTGGGGGATGCAGGAGAAGCAGGGCCGGAGGGTGGGCCACTGGAGCTGGGATCAACCTATTTCTGTGCCCTTATTGTATAGATGGGAAGACTAAGGCTCATCAAGAGCAGGCTGCCTGCGTAGGGTCAAACAGTAAGTCACCAACCAGGCACAAGGAGACCAGGTAGGACCCAGCTTTCTGGCCTTGCCTTCCAGCAGTTGGGACTCTGCTTCCGTGGCGTTTGGACAACCAAGCCAGCTTTTGCTCTTCCGGCAGGACCCTCTGCCCCTGGGCACTATTTAGGCTGATGCAACCTCTGTCCAGACTGCTAGACTGTGTCCTTCTGCCCTTCTGGCTGAACTCCCTGACCTGGCCCTCAGTGGAGAGGATTGTCTGCCAGGCCATGGGGGATCTGTCAGGACTCCCACAAGAGGTGGCTTGGCCAGGGTGCAGGGCTGGAAGGAGCAGGGTGATCTCTCCAATCTTCCCCCTGCCCGAGCAGCCCCAGAGCAACCCTGGCCACCCTTGTGCCTGCTGACAGGCACTCCTTGGCTTTGGGCCCTGCGGCTGAGCTAAAATTAGACCCTGTGCCCCGTGTGGGCTATCAGGGTCAGCTGAGGTCAAGGCCTGGGTGCAGCTGGTGCCCCCTGCTTGGGGGGCCAGGAGGGCTCTCGGTCTTGGTCCTCTCCCCTCCTGCCGCAGTCTCCGACTCAAGCAGCTCGGCCCTTCCTCCTCCAACCTCTAGAAGCTGGCCCTGCACGCTCTGGCTTGGAGCTGTCACAGCGCAGAGGTCAGGAGCCCTGCATCTACACCCTGCCCCATGGTCCCCAAGCACTTAAGATGTGTCTCCTCGGTTCCCTCTCCAGGCAATATCTGGCCAGTCTAGATCTGTCTCCTAGTGGCAGCCTGGCTCCTCCCCTGCCAGCCCCGATTCCATTCGCTCCTGGCTGGGAGGCAGGGTCTCCACTTAACCCCTTCCAAACCAGAATTCTTGATTGCTAATAATAACCAGCAGGGACCACACCTCAGTAGCCACAAGCTATCATAGCCTCTGTCTATGAATTCTCACATCAACAAGGCAGAGGCTTATCTCTGTCGCTTTTTACAGAAAAGAAAAGTGAAACTCAGGGAGGGGATGTTATCCTTCTAAGGAGACTCAGCTAAGAGGCAGGATGGGGAATTTGAACCCTGAGCTCCTGACCCTAATCCTTAGAGCTTCCCATTGGTCACCCCAGCTGGGGGTCTGGGTGTGGGAGCCTAAAAATCCGGTGATATAACATAAGTGGGGTGTTAAGTGGCTGGGTGAGGGTATTGGGCAAAGTGCTCCCAACTATTTCATCCAGCTCTAGCCTTTTCAGGCCCACTGCTGGCACCTCTCGGTCAGGTGCACAGGTCTGCCCTTGCCTGGAGCTCCGCAGGGCAGGTCTTGATGCTTCTTCCAGTCCATATGGGAAGATCTTCCTGAGGTTGAATTTGACTCTCCATTAGTCCATGCCCATTGGAGCATTCTCTTGCTCAGTTCCTTGGTCTGTGCTCTGTGAGAGGAGTCAAGAATGGGTGATATCACACACTGAGGAATCGCTGGGGTGATGGGGGAGACAGACCCTGGCTGCCAGGAGCCTCAGTCTCTGATGAGGGAGGCCACAGGGAGCTGGCAGAACCAGAACGGGAGTGAACTCGGTCTCTGTCCTCTCATCTCCACAATGGCAATAATGATAATGATACCTGCCATGAGATGGTTGCCAGGTGAAATCCAGGACATCCCATGCACATCTTTCAACAAGTGGCAGCCTCCTATCCTCCCTTGGCTTCCTCTGACCTCAGGGCACCGCTATGGGAATGTTTGCCCTCAGCGGGCAGCTGGTCTGAGGGTGGGGCACAGTTCATACTGTTAGATAAAAATTTTCACTTCCATGGCTGAAAGTCTTTTTAAAAGAAAGGGTTTATTGGGCCATTGCTAGCAAAAAGAAAAGGAGGAGGAGAGGGGGAGGAGAGGGGGAGGGGAGGGGAGGGGGAGGGGAGAGGAAGAGGCAGGGGCAGGGGCAGGGGAAGAGGAAGGGGCAGGGGCGGGGCAGGGGAAGGGGAAGGGGCAGGGGCGGGGCAGGGGCAGGGGCAGGGGCAGGGGCAGGGGCAGGGGCTGGGGCAGGGGCAGGGGCAGGGGCAGGGGCAGGGGAAGACCGGTCTTGGAGCAAGGAGTTTAAACTACCAGCAGCATGGCGAGGTAGGAGAGACAGCATGTTCGTCATCCTGGAGTTCTGCAAGCCTTTTATACACATGGAGTAGGAGATGGAGTTGGACCCGAGCCCTCGAAGGATTACATTAGCCATCAACAGAGGGAACGAGAGAAGGTGAAGCAGGGCCAGTTCTGGGGCAGGTGCAGCAGAGTCCCCAAGGAAGAGGCGTCCACTTCCATGGGTTAGCTGTGGGCAGCAGATTGGAACATCTGTGTGTAAATAAGAAGCAGAGGCTCCTGGGGTTCGATGATCATGGGGAAACAGCCACATGGTAATTAATCCTGAATTCCAACAGATACACAGGAATGCGAACGTTTTTGTCAGAACTGGTCCACAGCTATTAACAGGCTAACTGTTCTGTTTCTTTCTTTAACTTCTCAGCCGCTGTGATTTAAATTTAGAACACCTCAGATTTTTTTTGTTGTTGTTATTATACTCAAAAATGTCCTTAAAATGGCCAACAAAGGGGGAATCTGGCCTCCGCACCACAGGGTCAGTCACTGGTGGACTGACAGCCCCTGGTCAGGTTCTCTCTGGAAGGAGAGGCCTTTGCACACGCTGCTTACTGCTCCTGCCTGCGTGCGGTCCCTCCCTTGCTGGGCCAACTCCTCGCCCTACAGGAATCAGCTGAGGGCTCCCTTCCTGCGGGAAGCCTCCCGGCCTCTCCTCCAGCTGGGTTAGGACCCTCCTCTAGGTTCTCGTGCCATTTCTTCATCCCTCTATACCCAGGCACATTCATCCATTCATCCAACCAATACCGAGTACTGAAGACGAGCCAAACTTTGTGCCAGGCACTGGGAATACAACACTGAAGAACAGTCCTAACTGTCATTCATATTACACTTACTATGTTTGTTCATTTAATCCTCTTCTATGGGGGTGACAAAGGAGATACTATTATTATCCCCATTTTACAGATAAGGAAATGGAGGCCCAGGGAACTTTAAGTAACTTGCCTAAATCCCCACACCTTCGCCAGAATCTGGAGCCAGAATCCTTTAACCACTGCACCATTCTACCTCCTGTGTGAGACAGACATGGCCCTAGTTCACTGTCCCAGGGAAAGAGAGACCAGTAACCAGGCAATCACAGAAGAAGGGGCCAGAGAAGGTGTCTGAGGCAGTGACACCCTCCCTAAAACCTAAAGGATAACAATGTGTTTTCTACACGTTGTGGCTGCCCATGTGGGAACAGACAGGAAATAGCACGGACAGAGGCAGGGCCAACTTTTTTACAGGTCTGTCATTCCCTCAAGACATTCATTCATTCATTCATTCATTCATTCATTCATTCACTCATTCCACACTTGATGGGGACAGGCAGGTTCTAAGGGCAGTGAACAAAGCAAACAAAATCTTGCCCTCAAAGACCTCACGTTCCAGGGAGAGGAAATCAGCAATAAACAAAACAAATAAAGAACTATCTTGTAAAAAAAAAAAAAAAGAACATATCTTGTGTTATTTTTCAAGAAGTGCTATACAGAAGGGGAGGGAAAAATAAAAATAAATAAATTAAATTAAAAAAAAAAACAACAGAAGGGGAGAGACTGCAATGTGAAATGGGCCAATCAGCCCTGGCCAGTTTGGCTCAGCGGTTAGAGCGTCAGCCTGCGGTCCAGAGAGACCTGGGTTCGGTTCCCGCTAAGGGCATGTACCTCGGTTGCAGTTTGTCCCCGGCCCTGGTTGGTCGTGCGGTGGCAGCCACTCGATGTGTCCCTTTCACGTCAATGTTTTTCTCTCTCTCTCTCCCTCTCTCTCCCTCCCACTCTGAACAAAAAATGGAAAAATGTCCTCGGGTGAGGATAAAAAAAAAAAAAGAAATGGGCCAATCAGGCTGGCCTCACTGAAAGGTTGACATTTGTCCGCGGGTGTGACTCAGTGGATTGAGCGTTGTCCCATGGACTTAGAGGTCCCAGTTCGAATCCTGGTCAGGGCACATGCCCAGGTTGCAGGCTCGATCCCCAGTGGGGAGTGTACAGGAGGCAGCCGATTGATGTTTCTATCTCTCCCTTCCTCTCTCTCTAAAAAAGCAATAAAAACACATTAAAAAAAAAGAAAGGTTGACATTTGAGTACTATCTTGGAGAGGGGAGGGAGTGTGAGTGGGGTATGTTTTTAAGGGAAGGTAATTCCAGGTGGGGAGCAGCCATGGCACAGGCTCTGGGGGGGCGGGGTGGCTGTTACATGGGAGGTGTGATCTGATCTGACCTTGTTTTCACAGCACCCTTTGACTCCAGGGAAGAGCTTGGGGTGGGGGCGGGGGCGGTTAGAGTCACAGGGGTGGGGGTTGAGACAGAAGCAGGAATCCTCCCTCCGGCCACGCAGGTAGCAGGTACGTCTTGGTGGCGTGGACAAGGGTGGCAGGAGTGAAAGGGGTGAGATGTAGTTGGATTCTGGATATATTTTGAGCAGGGCGAAAGGACAGATTTGCTGATGGGTGTGATGTGAGGTGTGGCCTGAGTCATAGGCAGGGTGGACATGCCATCAACCGAGATGGGGAAGACTAGGGGGTGGGTATGGGGAAGAAGGTCATGTGGACAGAAAAGCAGCCACCTGTTAAACCTGACAAGCTCAGGGGCGGCCTGCATGGCAGCCTTACAAACTCAGAGACCACTCATAGCCACGTGGGATGGTCTGAACACTAAAATTCCTACTAAAAGCAGATCATAGTGGTTAGTCCCGCAGCTTCCTTGACAAAGGGCAATCTTTAACTTAAGTGGGACTGTCTATTGTCTTTTGCATCTAGAATAACATATCCTTGAAATGTC